CCAGCCGCTTTCTCTCAACTTCTTGCTTTAATCTCATCAGTTGTTCGCAGTAGAGTTCAGAATCGATGGTCCTGCCGGGTGGTAACAGCTCATAATGTATAATGCCCTTCCAATCCCACCACACACACAGCTTCACCTTGTTGCGAGTTAACCCGGGTTTCGCCAGAGTCTGTGAAGCCTGACCGGCCTTTGACCACAACCTTTCTCGTACGTTCTTGTCGTACGTGATCCACTTTTCATCACCAGTTATCAGCTTCTTCAAAAATGGTTCGGTTTCATTACGTCGTAATAAATAATCACAAATGAGTACACGGTTCATAAGTTTCTTTCAGTGAGCTTTTTTGTGTACCCAGTTTTTTTCAAATGCGCCATAACTATTTTGTGGTCAATTCCCAGTTCTTCAGTTACGTCGTAACTACTGATATGCCGATCTTGCCCCACTTTTTCAAAAATGGCATCGATTTTATCCGTAATAGGGCGACCAGAGCGACGTGCATTTTTGACATAAAAAATTCCGGATTGAAAACGCTTAAACCAAATTTGTGCTACTCTCACAGACACTGCACTAGGTCCATAAACATCGCAATTTTTTTACACGGCTTGCGTTGCTTTTTACCTTTTTTGTAGTAAAATTTTAAAATGTATCGAATATCTTCATTAGATTCACTCATCTTGACAGTACGAAAAATAAATCAAAATCACATATCTTCCTAATTTTAATTTGGAATTATCTTCTTTCGAATTTAAACTTTTAATGATACCAAAACCAGCCAGATACAAATAGTATAGCCAAAGAGATTTTATTACAAGTTCATATATTTTTAAGCTATTGCATAGCTTTTATCGCGGGCCTTGAGCGCGGCGACCAAATCATGAAATTCCGTAACGAAAAAAACCTATAATCCCTCACTCCGCCTACCACGTAGCTCGCGTTCAACACATTCACACGTTGCACTTGTTTAGTGTTTGCGAATAAGCGCGTGGCATGACGTCACACTGCATGCGTATCATGAAAATTCTGCCCATCTCTCTCTCGCGCGGTTTAGCTTATGAGTGTGAAGGGGACAGTTAAGGTTTTGCCTTTATTAAGGTTTAATATAGCGTGGTCTTGTTTTATTATTGTTTTAATATTAAATTATCATTGTCTAATTATAATGTCATAAGTTGACAAAAAATGCTATGCAATAGCTTTACCGCCGCAGTTCCCGAGTGCCACACGTTTTATTTTTTTTTTGTCAGGAGGAAATCGCTGGACTTCCGCCCTTCACTGGGGATGGAGGGCGGGGCATGTCGGAGTCGAACCGACTAAAACCTCCTGTCGCTCAACAACCAGCATCCAAACTTCGCATGAGACAGAGCTCATGAAAAGGCAAAGGGTGGAAAGTGAAGCGTTTAGTGCGGAGCACATCTCTCCCATCACCCTCCTCGGGACGCCGGACTGGCGGTCGTCGGCGCCACGACCACCAGCCCTTTCGGTCGGCAGGCTGTCCGAAGCCCGCCTAGATGGCGCCAGTTAGAATGATCTATCCTACGGAATACCCCTCTGGGTCAGAACCAGCGTGGGTTGAGGATAGCCGGCCTTCCATCACCCGGATGCTCATGCGTAAAACGTGTGCAGAGCAGCTTGCACGTCGTCTTCTTAGACCCCCTTCGCCGGTCCCCAGGCCGACATATGAGGGAGACCCGAAACACTTAGAGGGCCAGGGCTTGGGCGAAATCCGCCTCCCTGGACTCCGCTCGACGGCGGCGGGCCTGTACATCTCTCACGCGCCCCGCCGCCTCCTTTTGCGAGATGGTGCACTCGCAGAAGTCGAGCATCGCCTTCCACGACTCGTCGTCACCGAGCATCGATACCAGAACACTCGGCAACGACGAGTCGTTTCTTATTTTTGCGACGAGGACACGCCGCCACCCCTCCCATGCGGCAGAGCGTACGCTCTGCCGTGTCCAAGTCGCAACCACAATGGTGGCACTCTGCCGTCGGCTCGGCTCCGATCCGGTGCAGGAACTCACCGAAGCAACCATGCCCAGTGAGTACCTGCGTGAGCCGGAAAGTGAGGCGTCCTCTGTCACGATTCACCCAATTCACAAGAACCGGGCGAATCGCCTCGACGGTCCTACGACGAGCTGAAGGATCGGTCAGCGGCCTGGACCATGACTCCAGCACGGACCGCCGAGATTGGGCCCTCCGCGCTCTGACCACACTGGTGATGGGACGCGCCACGCCCCGGGCACGAAGGTTAGCCCGCCACTGATAGTCAGCGGCGAGCGCCACCACCTTCAGGACCCAAGGCAGCGTCCCAGCCAGTACACACGCTGCCTCGAAAGAGATGGTGCGATAACCACGGATAATCCTGACCGCGATGGTGCGTTGCGGCCGTTGCAGCAACTTCGTTACCCCCACGACCAGTGACTGGCCCCACACGGGCGTCTCGTATAAGGCCATTGACCGCACCACCCCCGTATAGAGACGGCGCGTTATCAGGCCCCCCGATATTGAGAAGAAGCCGGCTTAACGCGCCGGCCACCCCCAACAAACGAGGGACCAGGTTCTGAAAGTGAACACGGAAGGTCCATTGACTGTCCAGAATGAGGCCGGGGTACTTCAACTGCATACCGACCCGATACGGACACCTCCAACCACGATATGGGCATCAACAGGTGGCACTCTCCGGGGCCTGTGGAACCACATGTCCTCGGATTTACTGAGTGTCACGTCGAGGCCCAATCTCCTGATTTCGCCGACGACATGCGCCACCCCAGCAGTGGCAAGACGAGCAAACTCAGCAAAACTCCCCCCCCGGGACACGACCAGCGTGTCGTCTGCGTAACAGATTACGCTTAGACCCGGGAGGAGGGCACCTCTCAGTACCCAGTCATACCCGATATTCCACAAAAGGGGGCCGAGCACCGACCCCTGTGGAACACCGCGCATGACCGGAAACCTGTGCACGATCCCAAAAATTAAAACAACATTTATTAATTTAATTAATGAAATTGTGGTTTTAAAGTTTTAGGGGTGTATAAAAAATGGGGGGCGCTGAAAAATAATTGATTTTCAAAGGGGGCGGTAAAAGAAATAAGTTTGATAATCACTGCATTAAAGAAATACTGCTTCTCTACATACGTGAAACCATAGCGCTACCAATGAAAGCGCATAAAAATGGGAAAATATAGTAAAACTGCAATCACAGAAATCCATTGAAGTTCTTTTCATATATTTTAATTCGTTCATTCCATACTTGTCATATGAAGTCTTTAAATGAAGGTTTAGTTTCAAGATTAGGTTCCATATTACTGTGCCGACTAAAAAGGTCACTTAACTAGGTCTAGAAAGACTTCAACCTATTTGGAAGAAGTCAAAAAAAAAGGAAGAATGACAGATGACAAAAATAAGATAGAATAAAAAATATGCTAGGCTTTATTTCACTTTCAGAACCTGGTCTCTCGTTTGTTGGAGGTAGCCGGCGAGATAAGCCGGCTTCTGCCCAACGTCAGGGGGCCTGACTAGGTAACGCGCCGTCTCTATACGGGGGTGGTGCGTTCAATGGCCCTATACGGGGCCAGTCCCTGGCTGTGGTGGTAGCGAAGCTGCTGCAACGGCCGCAACGCACCATCGCGGTCGGGGTCATCCGTGGTTATCGCACCATCTCCTTCGAAGCCGCTTGTTTACTGGCTGGTGCGCGTGAGAGACGCACAAGCCCGCCGCCGTCGATCGGGGGCCAGGGAGACGGATCTCACCCAAGCCCTGGCCCTCTAAGTGTTTCGGGTCCTCATCACATGTCTGTCTGGGGAACGGCGAGGAGGGCCTAAGAAGACGACGTACACGCGTTTTACGCAAGAGTATCCGAGTAATGGAAGGCCAGCTATTCTCGACCCACGCTGGTTCTGACCCAACGGGGTATTCCGTAGGACAACCCACTCTAACCGGCGCCATCTAGGCGGACTTCGGATAGCCTGCCGACCGACTGTCGAACGAGAGGGCGGGTGGTCGTGGCACCGACGACCACCGCTCCGGCATGCAGCATCCCGAGGAGGAGGGTGAGGGAAGAGATGTGCTCCGCACTAAGCACTTCACTTTCCCCCTTTGCCTTTTCATAAGTTCTGACTCATGCGAGGTTAGGACTTGGATTATTGAGTGACAGGTTTTAGTCAGTTCGACTTCATATGCCCCGTCCTCCATCCCCAGTGGAGGGCGGAAGTCCGGCGATTTCCTCCTGACCAAAAAATAAATTTAAAAATGCTTTATAAAACTAATAGGGTCATAAAAATAAATACTATATGGATAAGCATGCTTCATTAAAGAAACATGAAAGTTTTTTATTACTAACAAATAACATTTTTATTTATGTACATAGAGGCATTGATTTACCGATGCACAAAATAAAATATGCAATCGCCATCACCATTACATAGATTATAATCAAAAAAGTCGGATCTCGTCTAAATAGAATACGTAGGTGTTATAAATTATTTCTGGGGAATTAGTCTGTGAAGCTTTGTGTTAAGTGTGTCTGATTTTTTGGCGGGAACGCGAGGAGTGAAGTTGTGATTTGTTTTATTTTGTTGTTTCGGGTTTAAATGTGTAATAACAGTGATTTATTAATGGTTTAATATCTGTGAAAGTGCACAAATGAAACAAAGCCGCTGGACGTAGCTTCTAGGGATCCTCCAAAAAGCCCACTAAAGAAGTCTCCGTAAATAACCACCATTTTACTGAGATTATATTTCATCCAATGTTATCTTATCTCAATTTATTTCATTTCATCTCAGTTGATTAATGTCTCAAATTAATCATCTTCATTTCATTTTATTTCATTTCACTCCCTCAATAATTTTTCATAAAAATAAGAATTTAAATGTAAAATAAGACATGACCCAAAAGTCTTAGTTACCTGGACATAAAATCCCTTTAAAAAAGTGTATTATGGCTTTGAAATAATGTTGACAGATTGAAGATGAATGACATTTGTGTTTGTCTAAATTGATACCATAGATAATACACATAATATTAAAAAGTTCGTCAAATTAATTTTCTAAATTAAATAATTTGAAATTATATTTAATAATGGCTACAACTGTAAACCAGAAAGCGTACTTGCAAAAATACCTGGCTGGTCCATCGGGCGATAAAAAGAAAAAGAAAAAAAAAGTGCTAAAAGGAAAAGGGTAAGTCAACTGTATACAATGTGAGCAATAATTAAAAACAAATGTGAAAGAAATTTTTTTAATAAAAAAATTACCCTAATTATGTACCGTTTTGATATGAACAATTGTATTTTGGCATTATATTAACGTGCTGTCGTCACACTAATAGGCATTTTAAAATTGAAAAAATCATGTAAATTTTCCTAAATTGTCCTTACAAGTTATTGTATTTTCAGTAAGTATTGATTATGTTGACATTATACAATGAAATCCATAACAAATGCGAATTAATTTCAAATTTCTTATTCCTGTCTATATTTTCATTCAGTATGGATGGACTTTTTGGTTGCTTAAGCATGTTGTTCTAATAAGGTTCGAACAGTGCATTAACTGTTTCATCACTCTCGGCTCATCTACCTTCAAAGACTCAAACGTCACTTCCAAATAAAGAGCAAAAAAAATATATTTCATTAGTGAAAGATACAGATGACAAATAACCTTACCTGTTGAAACACTAAAGTGAATATAAAAAATGTATTTTCTCATCTAATTTTAGGTTCAAAATAATAGACGATGACATTGACCTATCGAAGCTACGACCCCTTGAAGGTGACGAGTTAGATGTGTACGATGAAGGTGATGACGCACCGCAAGTAGCTGGTATCATCGATGAAAGACCAGAGCATATAAAAAAACAGGAACAATTCACCACTAGTTCTAAATGGAAGATCGTGAATCAGGTACACATGTTTATTACTTTATTTTTACTGTCAAGCCTTCAACATATTAAAAAACCATTCTAATATAAATCTTATTCATCGATTATAACAGACACCGAAAATCGTTACAGGATGACGGATTCAACAGCAAACTACAAATTCAAGAGATAAAGAAAGATGTAAAGGAAACCGAGAAAGAAAACGAATTGGTCTTTGGAAAAATGTACAGTGATTCCGAAGATGATAAGCCAAATGTTTCAGAAGCTTCGCCGTCTGGAAGAGCTAAAAGCAAAAAAAAACACAACAGTGACAGCGACTTCAGCCCACCAAGAAGAGGGAATCCAGTGAAAAGGAATAATTCTCCTAAAAGAACTACTGAATATGATTCTGATCTTTCACCACCTAGAAAGCATGAGGGTCAGAGAGCTGAAAAACTTAAAAAACCAAGTCGTTGGGACAATGAACAGGATAAGTCACCAAAGTCTTTGAGAGCTAACAACCACAGAAGATCTAAAAGCTCTGATTTGTCTCCTCCAAGGAAAACCCAAACGAATAAGATTTCTTCAGGACAAGAAATGAAAATTCAAAAAAGATATGATGTGACATCTCCCAGAAAATCTAGAAAAGATGATTCAAAACGAAATAGACTTAACTCAGTTTCACCTCCGAGGCGAAAGAAATCACCAGAGAAATCTAAATTTGGTCACGATAACAGACAGAGCCAGTTAAAAAAGTATAATGATACAGATTATGGTTCGAGGTATGATAAAAGATCTAACAGATCAAATTCAGATTCTGATATGTCTCCCCCAAGAAAGAGTAAGAGACAAATCTCAGAATCTCCCTGTAGAAATGTTCCACTAAGAAAAAAAACGAATGATAGTGATTCAGATTTATCTCCTCCCCGTAAAAATATAAGATATGCAGAAAACAAGTCCTATAGGAATGTAAGCAAAAAACCTCACAGGAGAAATGACACAAAAGACAGTGGTTCGGATTTATCACCACCACGAAAGCTTAAGAATATTGATAACTACAGAAGGCATGACTCTGAACGTAAAAGAAAAGACAGAAGTTCAAAAAGAAATGATAGCGATTCTGATCTATCTCCTCCCAGGAAAGATAGGTCTAACAAGAATGACAGTCCCCCTCCAACCCATAAAAAAATGGAGAAGACTTTGGAAGGAAAGAAAGCAGGATTACAAGATGCCAAGCAGCTGAGGCAAGAAAACGATGACTTTAGAAAGAAAGAAGAGGAGATGTTTAAGAAAATGAAAGATGATGTTTCAGGCAGGAATGCTCAAGTTGTGTCAAGGAAAGGTTAGAATTATTAATATAAAATTTAATTTAAATAATAAAAAAAAAGAATATTACACATATCTACGGCAATCTAATTTAAAATTATAAGTAATCTTTGTTACTTAATCTTACTTTATTACTTATTCTCTATTACTTTAGTACTTAACAAATGTTCACGATTGACTTCCACCATGAAGGAATAACATCGTGTAATAAAAATCAAACCTGCAAAATTATAATTTGCGTAATCACTGGCGGTAGGACCTCTTATGAGTCCGCGCTGGTAGGTACCACCACCATCCTGCCTATTTCTGCTGTGAAGCAGTAACGCGTTTCGGTCTGAAGGGTAGGGCAGCCGTTATAACTATACTGAGACCTTAAAACTCGTATCACAAGGTGGGTAGCGCATTTGCTTGTAGATGTCTATGGGCTCCAGTTACCACTTAACTTCAGGTGGGCTGTGAGCTCGTCCACCCATCTAAGTAATAAAAAAAAGTTACATAGTTAAAGTCAAAATAAATATGTGAGCATTCATTGTTCATGGAACATATTTTTATACAAAAATTTAATACAATTTTATACATAAAATTTTTTTATACAAAATACATATTGTGATATTTGGTGAAACATCAATCTCTAATCAGTGTGTCTCCAAGGCAGCTGTTTCCACTTCTCTGCTATTAAATACTAACTTTTCTCTTGCACTTTCTCTTGTGTGAGATTTTAGTTGATGATCACCGCATTGCTCTCTATTCCAATCCTCTTCATTCGAGGACTTAAATGATAAGACGCCTGATGTACTTTAACCAAGTGATTAGACAGTGCTAAAACCCCGCATGCATCTACAATTTTTTTGCAATGAAATACATAGTTGTCATATGTTTCCAAATTACTTCCACGATACAAAAATAAAAAGATGTATGTAATTCAAACATAGACCTCAAGTCTCAAAGCGGATGATGGCATTCACGTTGTCTATGAGCTGTGATAGCCACTCGATACCAGGTGAACCATTGAGAGTAGACAAAAATTTTTTTTTTGTCATATTTAAATTTACTTATGGCTTCGGTGCGACAGTAATATACTTCTAATACTTACACTCTACAATACTTATAGTATTTAAATTCTTTTTTGTTTGTTTTTTTATTGCATAGATAGGTGGCTCACAGCCTATCTGGTGTTAAATGGTTACTGGAACCCATATATATCTATAACGTAAATGTTGAGATATAAGTTCTAAAGTCTCAGTATAGTTACAACGGCTGCCTCACCCTTCAAACCGAAACCCATTACTGCTTCTCGTCAGAAATAGGCGGGGTGGGGTACCTACCTGTGCGGACTCACAAGAGGTCCTACCACCAGTAAAATTACATGTAATACTTATAATAAATTTAATATAATATTATTTCTAGTGAAAAGAGACGATTCTGAAGAAAGAAGAAAACAGAAGGAGAAAGCGGCGAGACAAAAAGAAATGGACGAGAAATATAAAAGATGGAGTAAAGGGTGAGTTAGTAGTAGCCCACTGAGTTTCCCGCCGGATCTTCTCAGTGGGTCGCGTTTCGGATCCGGTGGTAGATCCTGCGAAGCACGGCTCTTGCTAGGGTTCGTGTTAGCAACGTCGTCAGGTTTGAGCCCCGTGAGCTCACCTACTAGTTAAGGTTACGCTGAAATAGCCTCTCAAGGCTCTCAGCTTAGGTAGGAAAAGTGAGTTAGTTAAAATTACACAAATAAAAGCTTCAATCTCTTTCTCCTCTTCGCGACAATTCCCCAATACCCTGTTAATAACACATAATGGCTTCTGTGTGCTTGGTGCGAGTTTATTTTAACGCTCTCGATAGCGTAAAAGTTAACTTCAATTTGTATGCAATTGAGCAGCGCCCCTATCGGCAAACGCAGGCAAACGTTCCAACTCCATACAAATTTGAGTTTTTTTTTTATTTTTATTTTTTTATTGCTTAGATGAATGGACGAGCTCACAGCCCACCTGGTGTTAAGTGGTTACTGGAGCCCATAGACATCTACAACGTAAATACGCCACCCACCTTGAGATGTGAGTTCTGAGGTCTCAGTATAATTACAATGGCTGCCCCACCCTTCAAGTGCATATCGGCCAGGGTGGAGAATCGGACAACATCTATTTTTCATCCCCCTAAATGCTATAGGTGGTCCACCCCTAAATTTGTATGTACACACTGCGGTGTCTATCAGAACACTACATTATATCGAGGATTGAAAGGCAATTTAATATACGCGACATTTATCTTTGCAATTAAAGGTGCGTTTTAATTAGTATTAGCATCAACAGTTCAATGTTTTTAATTGAACTTCAATTAAGTTTACCCCACTTAAGCGGTAGGCAGCAGCTTGGCTCTGCCCTTGGCATTGCTGATGCCCATGAGCGATGGTAACCACTCACCATCAGGTGGGATGTATGCTTGTCTGTCTACTTGGGCAATAAAAAAAAAACAAATAGCCGAAGAAGTTTTTTGTTATGATATTTTTTCCAAATTCTAAACATTAAATCGCTCTCTTGTAATATTTCAAAAATGTCTCTTAAACAAATACCCTTTCACCCTTCAATATTATTAATTTTCCCTTCACGATTTAGTAAAATATTTGCTAAAATTTAATATTTGCCATGTGTATGTGCATTACTATAATTCTCATGTTGTATTTGTTATTTTAGCTGTCCTACACACGCTCATCACTTTTAATTATTATTCTCATAATCCTCTCGCAGGTCTGCTGGAAGAGATTTCTTAAAGAAATAAGCAGTGCCTTTGTACATAATTTTCCTATTACTCTGTACTATGTTTTCTTTTTTGTGTGTACATAAATAAATAAATAAATAAAAGGTTTGTTCTCATAATAAAAGCTCTGTATGTAAATTGCAGGTTGAAACAATTGGAAGCTCAAGAGGAACGGCTTCAGGATTTCATGCATGAGGCCTCAAAACCTCTGGCCCGACACCGGGACGATGCAGACTCGGAGAACAGACTCAAGCAGATAGAGAGGGCAGGAGATCCGATGCTCAAATACATACAGGACAGGAAGAGAGAGGAAGGAAATTTACCACCAGGTAATGTACTTTTGTATTAAATAACATAGTTCACTGAACTATTTTTAATTTGTGTATATATATTATGTATTACAAAAATCACTATTATTTAGGTTTGTATGAGTTTTATTTTTTTGAGTAATCGATACTTAAAATTACAATTCTTAACTTAAAATTATGCTTAAAACGATCTATATTTTAATATTATACATGTTAATAAATTATTACACTGTACCTATAATTAAATTAGTTAAATAAATAAATGATCAGGAATAAATCACTTATGACAGTGGGGTTCCAAACTAGAATTCCCTGTACAGTGGGGGGTAAGAGGAGATATATGTATATTGTAGTAGCAGTATAGTAGTTTAGTAGACTATCAAATATAGTCTTGACATTGCTCCACAAATATGAGAACTTTTTCTCATATTTGTGGAGTTTATTTTGAGTAACTGACAACACCATCATCAGATGAAAAAATATATTTTATTGGTATTTTTTTTTTTTTTTCGCAGAACGCCCAAAATATAAAGGTAATTTCCCTCCGAACCGCTTCAACCTGAGACCCGGCTACCGGTGGGACGGCGTCGACAGATCCAACGGCTACGAGAAGAAGTTCTTCGAGCAACAGAGCAAGAGGAAAGCTCAAGAGGAGGAAGCTTATAAGTGGAGTACCGAGGACTTGTAACGGCGAGGTGGTTACTAGCTAGTTAAAAGAAAATATAGTTCAAAGTATATTTCGACGCTTGAAAGGGAAACGTGACTAAGCGACAATGCGTGAACTTTTCAGTAGACTAATTTAAAGTTGAAATACCTGAAAAATATTCTATTTAAAATGATAAAATGAAATAAATGTAAAAATACATTAAATCAATAAAAAAAACATTACACACACTACCATGTGTTTGACACACAACATATACATATATCTCTATACTCTTTGTTTGTTGTCAATTGTCAAACTTTTGTTATTGTTTAAAGTCTGTGATCAAATTGAATCAATAATAGTGTAAAAAAAACTAACAAAATACGCTTTTATAGAAAATCCAGCTAAAAAATAGAAAATAAATTTGAATTAGAAATAGTGTAAGAAAAAATGATTTTATTGTAAAAAAAAAAGCGTTTGGTCCTTTTTAGGATATTATCAAAATAACCCTTCTATTCATATCTATTCATAAAATATTTATAACCACTGATACCAAGCACCCCAAGGTTTTTTTTAAAATCATTTTTTCTTACACTATTTTTAATTGAAATTTATTAAAATTTATTTTTAATTTAACTTCAATTATGTTTACTCCATTCAAATAGCTGTAGAAGTTTTTTTGTCATGTCATTCAGAGTTTCTTTCAAATATTAAACTTTTAATGGTTCTCCTGTGAAGTTGCTAAAATATCACTTGAAACTAAATAGCTTTTCACCCGTCAAAATGCTATTTTATAGTCCTCCGTCACAAATCGTCATGTGTTCAGATTCTAATGTTAGCAGCAGTCATACAATGCCAATGAGACTGGACCTCATATCCCAAGGCAGGTGGTGGCATTCTCACGTTGTCCATAAACTCCGGTAATCATTTTACATCAGTTGAGCCTTGAGCTCACCAACAAGATGTTTATATTGTTACAAATTATTTGTTCAATTATGGAATGTTAGTACATACATAATGCATATTTTGTTTTTATTGATGTAAATATTGTATTAATGATATGAATTATATTTTGGACTAAGCCCAGAGTTTTATTTATTTAATATATTTTGTACACACAGCTGTTAGAAGAAACACGACAATAAGGATACAGAGTACATGGGCACTACTTATTTCATGTTGAAATCTCTTCCAGTAGGCCAGTATAGTTACAACGGCTACCCCGCCCTTCAAACCGAAACGCATTACTGCTTCACGGCAGAAATAGGCAGGGCGGTGGTACCTACCCGTGCGGACTCACAAGATTATTTACTCTGCACCTACCTTTGGTTGACTGGTAGAGAATGTCTTGGGCATTAAGTGCGCCAATGTAAAGTTTACATGAAGTTTAATAAATAAATATATACATAGTTCCAAACCGATTATTTCTTTTTTTTTATGGCAGGCGATACGGCCCACCTGATGGTGAGCGGTTACCGTCGCCCATGGACTTCAGTAATGTCAGGGGCAGAGCCAAGTCGCTGCCTACCGTAAATTAATAATTAACACCAATTTAAGATAAAATAAAACCAAATGCTACTCAAAATGCAATGCAGTTTATTTAAATAAGAAAATGTTATTACTACTAATACCTAAATGATAAAATGGGTCACTCTATTAATGCATTTTAACATAAGGTTATACACATTATTAACACTTATGTTTTTTCATGGAAGATTTCAAATTGATATACTCAATTACATTTAACATAGATTTGTGGTAGATATTAAATTAAAAGTAACAATTAAATACACATAGATAAATTTTTGATACTTGTCTGTAGATAACGATTCTAATTTTCTAATAAAAATTATAACAAATATGTTAGCGATAAAAGATTATTTTTACTGAGAATTTATATAAAAGTTACTATCAAAGCTAATATATAAATCTGTATTTAGATTTACAAATGTTTTTTTGCAGTAAATTGATATTAATATTAAAATATAAATAAACATAAATATATTACTTTTACGAAGCAAAATATTCACTTTATTATTTTTTTAAAAAGCCAATAGATATAAGATACACATAAATTTATTTAAAAATAATAATATTTAAATACTATATTGATCTATAACTATTTAATTGCCTGTATTTCATTATAAGATCTCCGTCAACACAATATACAAAATAAGGGTCACAATATTATTATTTGCTATCACCGACTGTACAGCATATTAAAGATCTTCAGGAAAAAAAACTTACTGGATACAAAAAAAAAACGGAAAATAATCAAGAGTAAATTTTTTTTATCTACTAATGTAAAAGTCTTGGCGTTTTATAACTATTATTTTTATCAAACACAATAAATTTAAAAAATGATAACAGAATAATTAATTTACTTCACATTTATAATTTGTTTATTGCTTAGTTTAGAAAAGGCGAATTTACACGATCTCTATGATTTTTAATGTCTATGTATATTTTTTTTAATAATGCTTGAGAAGACGAATTTATTAGACTACTATAAATTTATATTTTAAAAACTATTTTATCCATACGCACCCTTAGTTATTACAGCGACAGTGTGTCCGGAATTCAGAATTAGGTACTTATATTAATGTAGGTATCCCGATTTATATTTTAATTACCAAAAAATAAAGAGCAAACAACGACTATCAAACGCCATATTATTATAAAATTTATGATTACGTCACAATGACAGTAATTACCACTACATAGTATAAAACAAAGTCGCTTTCTCTGTCCCTATATCTGTCTGTCCCTATGTATGCTTAAATCTTTAAAACAATGTAACGGATTTTGATGCGTTTTTTTTTTAATAGATAGAGTGATTGAAGAGGAAGGTTTATATGTATAATAACATCCATTAAATAGTGGAGAAATCAATAATAAATTACAGTTTCCGAAGCGAAGCGAGGGCGGGTCGCTAGTAAAAATATATTTACTTAATTATAATGATATAAGGTATACATTTTGGCGAGTATTACAAAAAAAATACTGCAAATTATAACAATAAACTTTAGTTTTACTGTTTAAACACTTAGTCCTTATCTAGAAAAACAAAACTGCGAAATTTTCATTTAAATCGAGGGCGGAAAGGCTGTTTGGTTTAAGCGACATTTTTTTAACTTTAGAGAAGAGCCATTTAAAGTTTATTTTTTAATGCTTAAGTGGGTGTTTTTATATATCTTATTGCTTTAAGTTTTTTTTTACGCCCACACATATACAGCGTGTTCCAAAAAAGTGCTTGCTTTTAAGATTTTTTTATTGAATAGTTGGGGCAAGCTCACAGCCCACCTGGTGTTAAGTGATTATGCATGGCATCTGAAAGAGCTAACTATATTTTTGGTAATTAAATAATCGTTTGGTAAACTCATTAATTTTGCCGAAAAGACACGTTTCCACGAACAAATTGGCTTAAAATTGGCTTCAAAGTTATTAATAGGTCGCAAATTCAAATATCATAGGCAGTAAGTATTGCGACAAGTTTTTTAAACACTTTCCGTCAATAATTACAAACTCAATATATTAACAACTTTTATTTATTTAGCGGCCGTCTGGTGTAGTGGTAAGTGACATGGTCACTACATAAGGGGGTCGCGGGTTCGAATCCCGCCAAGGGAAGGTATTTGTATGATAAATATAAATGTCTTTTCCAGGGTTATGGATGTATATTAAATATACGTATAATAAAAATCTTACATTTATTTCCGTTATCTGGTACCTGTAACACAAGTTCTTTACGAACTTGGCACGGGACCAGTTAACGTGGCGTGATTGTTAGTAAATATTTATTTATTTATTTACCAAACAATTCTCTTAAGTTATATGTATTTTAAACTAGCTTCGCGTTGTCTAACCTAAGATATAAATTGCGTTTTTTTTTAAAGAGATTTTATGACATGGTAACCAAGACCTTTAGGTTATGTCTTGTTTTTATTTATATTCTTCTTTTTATGAAATATGATAATATGGAGTAAAATGAAATGAAGATGATTAATTTGAGACATTAATCAACTGGGATGAAATTAAGTGAAATGAGATGAGATGAAATATAATCTCAGTAAAATGGTGGTTACATTTACTGAGATTTTTTCAGTGGACTTTTTGCGAGGATCCCGAGAAGTTACGTCCAGCGGCTTTGTTTCATTTTCCCACATTCGCGCACTTTCACAGATATTACACAGTTAATAAACCACCATTATTACACATTTAAACCTGAAGAAACACTAAATAGACAAAATAAAACAAATCACACAAATTCACTCCTCGCGTTCCCGCCAAAAAGTCGATATATAATAAATTGCGAAAGCGTCAAAGAATCGCGCGGTACATTACGGGCTTCGATTTAAATTGAGAGTTAAAAAAATAAAAACATAAAATGCAAATATTTTGTTTCCTATCGACGATATATTTAGTATGTATGTATATGTATATGTGATTTTGTATATATGTAGATATACTTTTTTTGTATGTATTCGCAACCTAATATAAATTTCATTGCACCTACCACTATTCACTCTGCACTACCTTTGGTTGACTGGTAGAGAATGCCTTCGGCATTAAGTCCGCCAATGTAAATTTTACATGAAGTGTAATAAATAAATAAATATTATATTAAATGATATTTTTAAGGCAACGATATTTCTTCCTATTGCAAGATATTCATAAGTCAAATTGTTTGTGGAAACGCGCCCTTAAAGCATACGTCAGGGGTATAGTATCAAATTCCACTAAAATTAAATGGCAAGAGATTTGTGCTTACATTCAAATTATTCTTTTCAGTTTTCTTTAGGCCCACACATATATAGCGTGTTCCAAAAGTGTGCTTTATTTTATTTTTATTTTTATTGCATAGATGGATGGACGAGCTCACGACCCAGCTGGTGTTAAGTGGTTACCGGAGCCCATAGACATCTACAACGTAAATGCGCCACCCACCTTGAGATATAAGCTCTAAGGTCTCAAGTATAGTTACAACGGCTGCACCACCCTTCAAACCGAAACGCATTACTGCTTCACGGCAGCAATAGGCGGGGTGGTGGTACCTACTCGTGCGGGCTCACAAGACGTCCTATCACCAGTAATTAAAGAATTCGATGTAGTGAAATTTGATACTATACCCCTGATATTACCGGACACTGACGCCGTAGGAGGGCGAGGCGCGGTGCTGTCCGCGGACAGATGTCGGGCTGCATCAACGGGAGGTCCTGTAGCCGCCACGGGCCCGCCCCGAGCTGGCCGAGTAGTTCTGGGTTCGGTAGCCCGGGTTTCCGCCCCCTGGGAAACACATCCACTACATTCTTATCATTCTACTATAGTTTGTAAACTTATATATAGATACAAACTGAGTTTAAAATCACCATTCGAGCAAGTGTATGCTTCTTTTTGAAGAAACCATAAATTTTATTATTTTTCAATTATTAATATACATCATATACTAGCTGACCCGGCAGACTTCGTAGTGCCTCAATCGATAAATAAAACTTTTATATAAAATAAACTTAAAACAAACAAAAGGAATCTGTCCTACGGGGGACACATCAAAGGAAAAACAAAATTGTTATTTTTATTTCATTCCAAGTATTCTCATATTTATCTACCTTTTAAACCTTCTCTGGACTTCCACAAACAATTCAAGACGAAAATTAGCCAAATCCGTCCAGCCGTTCTCGAGTTTTTAGCGAGACTAACGAACAGCAATTCATTTTTATATAATAGATAGAAGATAGATATATAATGTATTATTTTATTCACAAAAAAAAAGTTTAGCCCAGTAAAACTATAGCACAAAGTGAATTGATCTATAAAGAGAAACAACATTTAAAGCGTTTTCATTATTTAAAAATCTTTTTAATATTTCTAATGATGTTTCAATATTCAAATTACGATTTATGTTACCTGTACAATATATTAACTTCTTTTAAGATTTATGTCTTAAATCATATAGAGGTTACATATAATATAGTATACATATATGTACCTACCTACACATATAATAAGCAAAACAGGACATTTTTTTTACTCTGATAAGACTATCAATATAAACTACCATTGATAAGGTTGAAGCATTACTGCTTCACAGCAGAAATAGACGGAGTGGTGGTACATACCCGCGCGGACTCACAAGAGGTCAGTGATTACGCAAATTATAATTTTGCTGGTTTGATTTTTATTACACGATGTTATTCCTTCACCGTGGAAGTCAATCGTGAACATTTGTCAAGTACGTATTTCATTAGAAAAATTGGTACCCGCCAGCGGGATTCGAACACCGGTGCATCGCTATATACGAATGCAGCGGACGTCTTATCCTTTAGGCCACGACGGTATCTAATGGTGACTATCTAGTCATCACCTTCTGGTGTCTTGACGGAACCAGCGCGGGTAGGTTCGGAATTAATAATATGTAATAGATAAAAAAATGAATTGCTGTTCGTTAGTCTCGCTAAAACTCGAGATCGGTTGGACCGATTTGGCTAATTTTGGTCTTGAATTATTTGTGGAAATCCAGAGAAAGTTTAAAAGGTAGATTAATATGAAAATGCTCGAATTAAATAAAAATAACAATTTTGTTTTTCCTTTGATGTGTCCCCCGTCGGACGGATTCCTTTTGTTTGTTTTAAGTTTATTTTATACAAAAGTTTAGGCCTTTTTCGTGAGAACGCGAGGAGTGAAGTTGTGTGACTTGTTTTATTTTGTCTATTTAGTGTTTCTTCGGGTTTAAATGTGTAATAACGGTGGTTTATTAACTGCTTAGTATCTGTGAAAGTGCACAAATGTGGGAAAATGAAACAAAGCCGCTGGACGTAACTTCTCGGGATCCTCCAAAAAGTCCACTGAAAAAATCTCAGTAAATGACCACCATTTTACTGAGATTATATTTCATCCCATATCATCTCATTTAATTTAATTTCATCCCAGTTGATTAATGTCTCAAATTAATCATCTTCATTTCATTTCACTCCATATTATCATTTTTCATAAAAATAAGAATGAAGATTAAAATAAGACATGACTTAAAGGTCTTAGTTACAAGGTCATAAAATCCCTTAAAAAAAATTACAAAAGTTTAGGTATTTTTTTTATCGATTGGGGCACTACGAAGTCTGCCGGGTCAGCTAGTATGTAATAGATATAAAATAACAATTACCTTGATTGTAATTCCCCAGGCTGTCGTACGTTTGATATCCGCCGCCATAGCCCTGGGTGTACCCGCCGCCCTGGCTGCCCCGGCTATTATCAAAGCTCGACCGGTTCGAATCATAACCGGAACGGTTTAGGTCGAGACTAGACCGGTTCGAGTTGTAACCGGATTGGTTCGACGTGTACCCGGACTGGTTCGACGTGTAGCCGGGCTGGTTCGACGTGTACCCGGACTGGTTCGAGTTGTACCCGGACTGGTTCGAGCTATACCCGGACTGGTTTGACTCGTAACGTCCTCTGTTCTGATCGTATCCGCCGGGGGGCACTTCGTAAGTTTGAAACTTCCGCTGGTTCTGACCGTTGTAGCCCGACTGACTGGACTGCGGTCTGGAAATAACGTCATTGCAGTTTTTAGTTTATAACAAACTAGCGGCCCGCTCCGGCTTCGCTCGGGGTCTTAACAAAAATTTAAAAATTTTAATACACACACATCAACCTTTCTTCTATTTGCGTCAGGTTACTAAAAAAATAAAATTATTAAGATAGCTTGAATATTATTATTTTAATGAACTTTTATTTTCATTTAAATGATACATTTTCTTATCCATTTTTATATTATTATTTTTCTAATTTACGTAACAAAGTCACATACATATACAAAACAAAAGCCATTGAGCTTATTGAATTGAAATAGTACGGAACCCTAACTTTAAAAACAAGATTATAGCCTATGTCACTCAGACATAGTGTAACATCCAAACAATGAAAGAATTTTTCAAATCAGTTCAGTAGTTGCGGAGCCTATTCAATACAAACAAGCAAACAAATCTTTCCTCTTTATAATATTAGTATAGATAATATTTGTATTAAATAAATAAAATTGGAAAATTTATACGCGAATAAGGTTCATAGCCTGTATTAACACTGTTTAATTCTTTTATAGCAATGTCAAAGATGCTAGCCTTCCAAGGCGCTAAGCATCACAGTATAGTAACATGTTGTATTTCACTATCATTTCAATTATTCATAACCCGCTCTTCAAGCACGCTGTACATCTCTCAATTTAAATAATATAAGAATAATATTAAGTGCTGGAGTTTTACTACCACAAGATACTCCCTTATGTATCTCAAGCCGGTACCGTCAAACGGGGTCAATAGAAATTACGGGATGAATAGACACAAAACCAGGAAAGTTTTTTATACCATGGAATAAATAAAGTATAAAAATACTTTTTACTGTTTATTTAATGTATAACCTATATTAAATCATACTCCAATAAAAATTGTTTCTTATTTAAAGTCGGAAGCACAGTGAAAATCTGATTCAAAGTCTAAAAATGTTTCTGTCGACCCCATCTTACGGTACAAACACTAAAGATACTTTTCAATGTGGTAAATACGTCAGATACTACTAAATACGTCTCACTGGTGGTAGGACCTCTTGTGAGTCCGCACGGGTAGGTACCACCGCCCTGCCTATTTCTGCCGTGAAGCAGTAATGCGTTTCGGTTTGAAGGGTGGGGTAGCCGTTGTAACTATACTGAGACCTTAGAACTTATATCTCAAGGTGGGTGGCGCATTTACGTTGTAGATGTCTATGGGCTCCAGTAACCAGTTAACACCAGGTGGGCTGTGAGATCGTCCAGCCATCTAAGCAATAAAAAAAAAAAAAAAGATACATCTATTACGAGTATATGAACCAGTGTCACAAGCAATTGTTTATCTTGGAAACATGTTTCATTCTTTGTTAATTGCAATCGAATCTGGGTCCCAAACATGCTAGTCAGTTTTTTTAAAATACTATTTTTTGCTACTTAATTTCTAAACTATTGGAATTATAAGATCAATTTAATTAAGTTCTTTATAATATAATTATCTTGGAAACATGATTCATTCTTTGTTAATTACAAATTAAAAAGGGAGCTGAAACTGTGCAACATCTATATTTAAAACAATTACTTTTTTGGGTTAATTATTTGTAATATCAAAAAAAGGAGACCAAAAATCTTTCCCAAAGATATTGAACTGAATCTGGACCCCAAAACTACTAGTTAATTTTTTTAAATATTTATAGTTGCTACTTAATTTCAGAACTATTGGTCACATAAGATCAATTTTATCAAGTTTTTTTATATATTCCAATAATAAAATGTTTTAAAGTCCTCATATATGGTGTGTAACACAACGTACCTACTGTCTCCGGTGGTCTGCGCGTAGCCGCCTTGCACGCGCCCTCCCCTCCCCCCTCTGCCCCCCTCAGCACCGCGCCCCCCTCTGCCCCCTTCACCACCGCGACCCCCTCGCCCTCCTCCACCTCGGCCGCCACCACTCTAAAATTTCAATCAAAATATATATATGTACATTACGTCGCTGTCAAACCAAAATCTGCTACGTTCACTTTTTTAGATTTTAACTTCTTGACCTTTTCGTATAGTTAGTTCACAGCCCTATCTACCGTATAAAAAAAACTGTTATATGTCTATAGCTTTAATATTTATCTATAGCTTTCATTTGATATAAGTTCTTAAAAATTCACCTTCATATAAAATTTTATATGAAAATGTTTTTACTCGTTAATTCAAAATAGAGTTTTTGCACATAGCAGATTTTGGTTTGACAGCGACGATTAGCTTCTTTATATATTAAAGGGGAGAGTCGTATTGGAACAGTTTTTAATTTTAATAAACCCGTAAAAAGGTAAAATGTAAACAGAAAATGGTCACAATAAGAAACAGTACAATTTTTTTCTTGTCATGGAAACTTTTCAAATTATTGTAGAACTCAACAATTTTTTTTTAAAAGTCTCAGTAACGAGACTTTTAGGACTAGTCTTACTTTTTCATTCTGTGATATGAAAAATAATACGGACCAAAATGAGACGAAGATGATTAATTTCGGACTTCAATCAATAATTACTTTAATCAAATTTTTTTTTTTATTGCTTAGTTGGTTGGACGAGCTCACAGGCCACCTGGTGTTAAGTGGTTACTGGAGCCCATAGACATCTACAACGTAAATGCGCCACCCACCTTGAGATATAAGTTCTAAGGTCTCAGTATAGTTACAACGGCTGCCTCACCCTTCAAGCCAAAACGAATTACAGCTTCACAGCAGAAATAGGCAGGGCAGTGGTACCCGCGTGGACTCACAAGAGGTCCTACCACCATTAATTACGCAAATTATAATTTTGCGGGTTTGATTTTTATTACACTATGTTACTCCTTCACCGTGAAAGTCAATCGTGAACATTTGTGGAGTACGTATTTAATTAGAAAAATTGGTACCCGCCTGCGGGATTCGAACACCGGTGCATCGCTTCAACACGAATGCACCGGACGTCTTATCCTTTAGGCCACGACGACTTATCATATTAAAAACACAAACATACCGGAGCTGATGATCTCTGTTGCCAGGAGGGCATCTCTGGCGGTGGAGGTTGCTGCTCATTGGGTCTACCACCTCGGTCTGGTACCTGAATTATAACATCAAAAAATATCTTAAAATTTTGTCTACCACTTCAATCGTTCATCTCTGACCATGAAAACTGTTATATATTTGAAACGTCAAAAATGATATAACTACTAAATAACAGCGACATTAAACAATATCAGTATCAGACTATACTGAGATCTTAGAACTTATGTCTCAAGGTGGGTGGCGCTTGTAACCACTTAACACCAGGTGGGCTGTGAGTTCGTCCACCCATCTAAGCAATAAAAAAAAAACTATTTCATTTTATAGTTACTTTTACAAACAGAGCCCTTTGTACAAGGCTGAGGTATTGAAAGAGTCACAGATTACTGGACATCTGAAGGGCGACAACCTTACAGACTGACCGGCTTCCTAGGGTGGAAGAAGTGGTCCCAGCTCACACAAGAGGCCTTTTGTCATTGAGTTGCAGCCACGAGCACATCTTTCAAGATGGTTAGCCATGTGTGCTCGCATAGCTTAATTGACAACAAACAATTCCGATTGTTTAAGAACTTACTTGTCCAATCAGAACTTTGTTGACATCGCTTCTGGTATTCTTTCTAACAGTAGCACTGGAAGTCTTCTCTACTTGCAGCAGCGACGTTCTGGCCGCTAAGAAGTCTGACAGTTTCACATCTGGCTTCGGTTTCAGATGTTCCCGTTTCGGACGATAAGTGGACTGGATTGCGTCCTTCTGCGTTTTCAATCGATCTGACCACTGCAAACGGTTTAATGTTTTAGTTTTTATGAGTTCACATACATGACAATATGAATGTCAATATGCACAAGGCAGATATATTATTTATTGCTTAGATGGGTGGACGAGCTCACAGCCCAAAGTGGTTACTGTAGCCCATAGATATCTACAACGTAAATGCACCACACACCTGGAGATATAAGTTCTAACATCTCAGTATAGTTACAACGGCTGCTCTACCCTTCAAGCCGAAACGCATTACTGCTTCACGGCAGAAATAGGCACGGCGGTGGTACCTAACCGTGCGGACTTTCAAGAGGTCCTACTACCAGTGTAGTGTTGCTAGGACCAAGGTAGATATTTCAAATGTATTGTATAAAGATGATCTTTCACAATGGAATGCATACTGCTTCATGGCAGTACGGAAGCTGATACAGTACTTACACTAATGCTGCCAATTGGGGAATTAATCGGGAAATTGCCAAGGGCTAATTGCCTTCTACAACGCTCATGAGAAGAGCAAAGGCAGGACTATTCTAGATGGGCATGACCACAGTAAAATATATTAATTCGATCCTATCCAAAGTCTGTATTGTAAAAATTTATTTACAATATATATATATATGTATATACTCATTTTCTATTCATAGTTAAGTTAATTATAAATTAAATTTTACAAAGACTTTAATATTATTATCTCTTTGTGCAGTATATAATTTTTTGTCTAAAAAATTTAAAAACATGTAATTTATAGGTATAAGTTTACCTCAAAACTTTGTATGGTACATTCCAATCTGGTTATAAGTGTCTCTCTCCTTAGTCTGTATTCTTCAAACATCTCCGTGAAGCTTGTCTCCAATTGTTTCCAATCTTTGTCACTTAAAGCCTTGTTGTACAGTGGCTTACCAACTAATTGTTCACCTGTAGAATATATTTAGCTCGATAACTAGCCCTCAACTTTTTATATCAATGGGTGTTCAAATTTAGAAATATTAATAGCCATTGGTGTTTTTTGACTTTTCTACCATATATTCTGTATAAATAGTAAAAGTTTAAGCTAGATTGTATTATGAACTTGCACAGAAGTATCTAACAAATTTCTCCCTGCCCTGAAGTAATAAATTCGTTCTGATTTAAAAGGTGGGGCTTGTTATCTAATATGAGTGAGACTAGAGCTCATGTTCTGACGAGCTGAGCGCTGGCATCAATGTTATTATAACTAGTCAGGTCATAAGTATTGTCACACAGTAAAAACTTTTCTTTTAGAATGCTGGCCACAAAAAAGTTTATTGAATTCGAATTTCGAATTGTTCATGAAAATAAAAATGTATACTTTTAGAATTTTTACTCATTTTTAAATATGGAGTGGACGCTTAAAGAAGACCGTGTCGCAGTTATTGCGTTGCATCGTTGCGGTTACGCGCCAATTCAAATTTTTAACATACTGAAAAATTTAAATATAACCAAAAGATTCGTTTATCGTACCATCAAACGATACAATGAACTCTAGTGTAGATGACAGGTCAAGAAGTGGTCGCCCTCGGTCTGTTAGGACTCCAGCAGTGATAAAAGCTGTGAAGGCGCGAATTCAAAGAAATCTCAAACGTAAGCAGAAACTGTTGGCCCTTCAGATGGGGTTAAGCAGAACCACGGTGAAAAGGGTGTTAAATGAAGACTTAGGGCTTCGGGCATATCGAAGAAAAACAGGACATCGTTTGAATGCTCGTCTAATGGACCTGAGACTGAAGAGATGCCGCGCTTTGTTGAAGCGGTACGCGGGAAAAAAATATCGGGAAATTCTTTTTTCGGATGAAAAAATTTTTACCGTAGAAGAGAGCTACAACAAACAAAATGATAAGGTGTACGCACACAGTAGTGAAGAAGCGAGCAACCGTATTCCGCGTGTCCAACGAGGTCATTTTCCATCCTCGCTCATGGTATGGTTGGGAGTTTCTTATTGGGGCTTAACAGAGGTACATTTTTGTGAGAAAGGTGTAAAAACGAATGCAGTTGTGTATCAAAATACAGTCCTGACGAACCTTGTGGAACCTGTTTCTCATACCATGTTCAATAACAGGCACTGGGTATTCCAACAAGATTCGGCGCCAGCTCATAGAGCGAAGAGCACACAAGACTGGCTGGCGGCGCGTGAAATCGACTTCATCCGGCACGAAGACTGGCCCTCCTCCAGTCCAGATTTGAATCCGTTAGATTACAAGATATGGCAACACTTGGAGGAAAAGGCGTGCTCAAAGCCTCATCCCAATTTGGAGTCACTCAAGACATCCTTGATTAAGGCAGCCGCCGATATTGACATGGACCTCGTTCGTGCTGCGATAGACGACTGGCCGCGCAGATTAAAGGCCTGTATTCAAAATCACGGAGGTCATTTTGAATAAACTTTAGTGTCATAAGAATCTATGTTTTGTTAAGTTCATTTTGGTATATGAATGGTTACATAATGAATAAACTTGTTTCAATTATTTTACATTAAACATGTGACAGAATTTATGACCTGACTAGGTATAACTCATGTCATAAATCAAATGAAATAGTAACAATAGCAGTAAAATTTAAAGTCAATCAAAAGTAAACAATTTTATTTTTTGGTTTATTTTTATTTTTATTGGTCTTGTGAGTGGTCATCGTAGCCCATGGACTTCAGCAATGCCAGAGACAGAGCCAAGCTGCTGCCCACCTACTTATCTAGTGAAACTATAAGGTATTTTATTCTTATTATTTATTACCTTTTCTGAGCCCTTAAGACTGTTAACAATAAGCAATATGTTTTCGATTAGAAAAATAATTAAATCTCTTTTTTACCTTCCTTTTGTATGGTATCCTTTAATTTTCCTTCCAGTTTGGAGAATAACACTTCCGGAGTGATATTCGGTGGTGGTTTGTTAAATTTTAGAGTAATCAATATATCTTTGAGATCTTTGGCTGTTGGAGATTCACGCTGAAAATTAGTGTATCGTTGTTGAAGACTAGAATTTCAGTTTTTTTGAATAAACTGCAGCTGTTAAAGATAATATATTTTCTGCATTGAGCAAATTATATGCCCAAAGAGATCAAGAATAAGGACAGCCACCCAGTTTATGCAAGATTTAGACTTGAACAAAAATGCAAACTGCAAACTTTTAAAACCCTATTTTATTTACACAGCATAATCTTAACTCAAAATAAATGGTTCAAATTAAATATGATTACGTATATACCATAACAATCTCCATGCCTGAGCCCTTATCTTGTGGACGATCTACATTCACCATTCTAGCTGCCATGAGCTCGGAGATCAGGTAATCAAGCAGTAACAGACGATCGTCTTTAGATTGTAGTCGAGATGACATATGACCTGTTTAAACATAGTTTAATAGTTTATTATTATACAAATCCATTAAGGTTGTTGAACTAGCTCACAGCTCTCACGGCAAGCACGGCCAGTGGTGATTCAGACCACCTGACCACCACTGCCCATCATTTATTATCCAAATTGTAATTGTTGCAGGTTTCACTTTTATTACACTGTTATTTCTTCATCATGGAAATCATTCGTGAAAGTGTGCTAGTTACATTAGAAAAATTGGTACCATGTTGTAGTATTTAAGAACTGGCACAGTCACATTGTTCAATACAGATGTACCAGACGACATAACCTGTAGGTCATGATAACATCAAACTAGGTATCATCATTCTGACTCTGGTTTAAATGGTAATAGTAACCACACTCTAATAGTAGTTGACCCAGCAGACTTCCTAGTGCCTCAATCGATAAATAAAAGACCTAAACTTTTGTATAAAATAAACTTAAAACAAACAAAAGGAATCCGTCCAACGGGGGACACATCAAATGAAAACAAAATTGTTATTTTTATTTAATTTTTATTTAATTCCAAGCATTTCCATATTTATCTAATTTTTAAGCCTTCTCTGGAAATAATTCAAGACCAAAATTAGCCAAATCGGTCCAGCCGCTCTCGAATTTTTGCAAGACTAACGTACGCAATTCATTTATATATGTAGTTAGATAGATACATAGAAGATAGATTGGTTATTAATGTTTAATAGTTACTCACCTGTTACCAATTTCTTGTAGGGACATCCCAATTCTTTCAAAAATGAACTAAGTTCCAGCAGGAACGAGCTTGAATCGTCTGGATCATTAATCATGTTTACAGTCTCTTCGAGGTGACAGAGATTCTTCAACTCTTCGGCCAATATGTGCACAAGTTTGGTGAAGTCAAGGGACTTGGCACCTCCCTCAATAGCCTTTGCAAAGACAGCTTCTTCAGAGAGTGGGCCTTCATAGCTTAAAATTGATTTCTAAGGTTTTATGACTTGTCTTACACAAAAAATTGCAGATCAAATGTCATACTTGGTTAATTTAATACATTAAAGGTTTGTTAGGCTAACTTTTTAGTAACCTTATATTGAGGAACATACACCGCAATCTAACATAGACATGTGAGTATATAATTAAAAAAATATATCAAACTAGTATAAAATTCAAATTCAATGCTTTTATATTAAGAGGAAGATATATTAAACGAAGGAAATATATCATGTAGGATTAACGAAATAGATTGGTGGAAGACTATAAATTGTACCTCTTTTAAGTAGAAAAACCATTATTAACAATACTACTACATAAAACTACTTTTATGGTTAATCTAGCGTTTTTATTGTGATTGTATTGTTTCCGACATATGGAACACTTTACAGTTTTCGTGGTCATACACGACTGAACTGTGAGAGTAGGTTTAGTTATGTCTAAGACTAGGGAACACCGAAAAAAAAAAAAAAGTCCGCTTTTTTTCTTATCGTGATTGCTTAAAAACGCTAGGTTATATATACTCGTAGATAGGTAATAGTACTCGTTAGGTTAAGGAATTCTATGTTGTCAACGAAGAATATAGAAATAGTCAAACCAACAGGATCTGTCAATATTAATTCTGAATTTACCATATTGCGAAATGTTTTTCGGTAACGCCAACGTGTCGTTTTGAAGCTTCTTAATTTATCAATTTTAAAGAACATTTTTATAATGAAAATAATAGAACCGGTGATTTTAACTTGATCAAACCTACAAAAAATTATAACCGTACATACCTCAAGTCGCTAAGTGAGTCCAATATTTCGTTTTCCATTTTAGTCAATAACCTCTTACTAAAGTTCTGTACTTTTTCTTAAATTACTGACTAAAACACAGTTTTACTTGGGATAAGAAATTCTGAAAAATAGATTTCAGCCGGCGTTCCAGGTCTTTTATATTTTAATCATAGATTAAACGTTTAACCATCGATAAGACAATTGAAGTCAAGACATTTTATGGATGGAGCCCTGCGTTCTATTCCTTTAAGCCACAAAACACCAAGAATACAGAAACTAAACATGAAATAATTACGCATTAGAATCAGGCACGCATAGACAGGCACGAAATCACGAACCCAAAGCTTCCAACTCTATGAGGCGCCTCGTAAATATATGAGATTTTTGTCTGCTGTAGAAGGTGAAATTAAAGTTAGAATGTAAATGTTAATTTTTTTAATTATACCACAATAAATCATATAACTAAATAACTTATTATGCCTTAAAGCAGAACAGGATTTTTGTAAATTGAAAATCGAAGTTCATAAACACGAATCCCACATAAAACAGATTCACTACAGAAAAAGCAGCAGTATTCTCAGCGCATAGTTCTGTCGCCAATCTCGTATTACTAGTGGTAGGACATATTTCGTGTCGGCTTCGGTGGGTTTTGTTATCACTTCCACACGCTGTAATTCCAACGGGCTAATGAACCGGCAGTTCTCGTTTTCATGTACAGGAACGTTTTTTTTTTTAGAAATTTCTTCTATAGCCTGTCAAATTTTTTTCCTGATAGTTGAAACCTTAGAAGAAGGAATTTTACTTTCAACTACTTTCGAGACGCAAATTTCAAGAATTATGTCTTTAAATTTATATTCTGCCATCCTGTAAATAAAACACATATTTTAAAATAATTCTCAAGACGATAAAGCCCCCAATTGGTGCGCTCACTCGAAATGACATTTCATAAATTAGCTGTGGAAAATTTCTGATGTTTCGGTAGTCTTTTTTTTTTTTGTTGCCTTGTTGTGTGGACGAGCTCACAGCCCACCTGGTGTTAAGTGGTTACTGGAACGCATAGACATCTACAACGTAAATGCGCCACACACCTTATGATATAAGTTCTAAGGTCTCAGTGTAGTTACAACGGCTGCCCCACCATTCAAACCGAAACGCATTACTGCTTCACGGCAGACATAGGCGGGGCGGTGGTACTTACCCGTGCGGACTCACAAGAGGTCCTACCACCAGTAATTACGCAAATTATAATTTTGCGGGTTTGATTTTTATTACACGATGTTATTCCTTCACCGTGGAAGTCAATCGTGAACAATTGTTAAATACGTATTTCATTAGAAAAATTGGTACCCGCCTGTGGGATTCGAACACCGTTGCATCGCTATATACGAATGCACCGGACGTCTTATCCTTTAGGCCACGACGACTCTCAAGTCGTCTTCAAGACGTCTCTCAAGTCTTTCGTGCACGCTTACAAATCCACTCATTAACATTTTGACGTAGGTATTTCCAATATTCAAGGGACATGCGAACGTAATAAAACGTGAAATGACGTTTACTTTTATTTCAGACCTTGTAGGCTCAGTGAATTTGTAGGCGTGAGGTTTTTTTTTCCTACCTATTCTGATAGCCTTGAGAGGCTATTTCAGCCTAACGTTTGTAGGTGAGCTCACGGGGCTCAAACCGGAGAGTTGCTAACACTGACTCTAGCAAGAGCAGTGCTTCGCAGAATCTACCACCGGATCGGAAACGCGACCCACTGAGAAGATCCGGCGAGAAACTCAGTGGGCTGTGTCTATGGGTTAGTTCGCTCGTCGAGCCCTTCGTCGCAAGCGACGGGTTCGACGAGGACGGTGACCGGAGGCGTGAGGTGATGGTTTGCTCAATAGATATAAAATAATTAATAATTGGGAATTTAATTGTTTTTATGATCAAACAATCACCAATAGTCGTCAAACAAACGATAATTGTTCAAAATTAATTAATCTGAGCGATAAAAATAAAGATACATAATGAGGGGGACCACTTTAACGATGATCATTTGTTTAATTAATTATAAATAAATAAAAGACGACTAACAATTTTTACATTCGAACAAACGACGAACAAATAATAAAAAATAAAAAAAATCCGAAAATCAAAAAAAGGGAGGCTAAATTCACTGAGCCCAAATTCAGTGAGCCCGAAACTTGTAGGTATGTGTTCAATTAGTTGACATCGCGTACACCTTTCGAAGTTTGGAGAATCGGCTCGATTAAGCAGGCCATACTATTGTAAGTTTTCGTATTACTTCCGACTTTCGAAGGCAATCCAAGGGAAATTTCTTAATTGTCCGACGACAGCCCTAAATTCGTACAACTTAAATTACACGTGTTATTTAGATTTTAAAAAGAATATCAACTATTACGTGCGTCGAAATTGGTTTACGGGCATAAATCTTTGAAAAGTGATTCAAACTATCACTTAGGTAACACATGATATCACAGGTATATTGCCAACATTTGGGCTGGGCTGGGCGGCGTTCCGCAAATTGCTTCCAGTGGAGTTTTTTCATCGCACATCCCACAGTGCCTGAAAACGAAAGCTTTTAACCAGTGCGTCCTACCGGTAATGACTTAGGAAGCCGAGACGTGGACACTCACTGTACGTTTGATCCGTCAGCTCGAGGTCGCTCAACGAGCCATGCTCGGAGTTTCTCTGAAGGATAAAATCCGGAATAAGTATATTCGACAGATAACTAAAATCATCGACATAACTCAAAGAGTCAGCAAGCTGAAGTGGCAGTGGGCTGGCCATATATGCGTAGAGCTCACGATCGCTGGAGCAGACGGGTTCTCGAGTGGAGACCTCGCAGCGGAAGACGTAATGTGAGACGCCCCCGGCTCAATGATCTCTGAAGGGTGGCTGCCAAGAGGAGGATGAGTAGAGCCAAAGACCGGGCTCAGTGGGGAGAGGCCTATGTCTAGCAGTGGACAGTGCGGAAAAATATGTATTTAGTGTGCGGACGCAATTCGTACTACCAGTACTAATAGATACTTAATGTTGATAGGGTATTTTGTGAGTGTACATGGTTAGGTTTCACCACCCTGCTTATTTCTGCCTGACTTTGAGAAATGTATAAAATTTATGAATAAGAAATAAGTAAAAGTTTTCTAACCGACTACAAAATTTCAAAGCGATTTGAAAACATCGAACACTTAATTTATGGACATTATAAATAAAGTTGACAGTTCGTACGTAAATCATTCTCACAAATTGATTTATGCTTAGAAAAATCGGTGTCAAAATTGAGTCGTTTAAATAAACAATGATAGACGGGAAGGCATAACAATTTCATATGTTTAGTGTTTAAGACGAAACGTATTAACCGGTACGATAATAATATCTGTGTTCAAACACGTTTTCTACATACAAGCTGAGGCCGACAATCACAGTTTTTCCACTACCTACCAAACAATCACAAATGCGTTGTACGCGAGAGCTACACGACATCCGAGCCGAGGTAGTAGTAGGGAGCGAGAGCTAGCGAAACAAGTGAAACAACACACACACAGTCGACCGCGCTGGCTGACGCGGTGAACGTTTGTAACTTCGCGCCATTTCAATCAACTATAAAACTTAAAACGCATTTGGATACCATTTAAAATCATATTCAAAACACAGGAATGTGATCAGTGATCGTGATAAAACAACTTATGTGCCATAAAATTAAGTGATGAAAACATAAATTTTTTTTCAAGTTTTAATAATGAGTGTTTTAATATTGTTTTTTGTGTACGTTTTTGTGCCGTGTGTTTTTGGCCAAGAGGCCGCGGCTTGTTATGGTGCTGGCAGCGTTGCAGGTGCAGCAATAGGTGCTTTCATAGCTGCACTTATTTTGGTTGCAGCTGCTTATTACCTTCGCAAATTGTATTGGAAGTCACGTAAAGGTGAGCAAGCGCGTCGCTTAAACTTTAGTTTCACAAATTCCCACGTATAATCATGACAATTATAAAAGTGAATCGTAATTAGTATCTACATAGTTAATAAATGAATTACAAATCACATGATTAACGATTTATTATTAACTTCATTGGAATCTCAATATCTACTTAGGTCTGAAACGTGTTTCGTGTCATTCATTCGCTAAGTGATACTGCATTTAGTGATGTAACTAAGTTGTTTGCTTTTGTAACGTACCTAACTGCGTTTTCTAGTTTGAAGAACGTTAAGCAAGATTTCCTTTTAAGAAAACGAGTCGGGGAAATCGATTTACTGCGTTACTGTTAAAAGATAAAATTCGAATGTATTACAAACTCGAGAGATGTGTGAATGCGTTTGTTTTAACAAATATCTATGTGTATACACTACGCTTCTCAACCATGAAGTAGTCGCATCTATTCCGGGCACGTGCTAAGCTACGCAAGCATTCACTTATCTATTGATAAAAATAGGCAAAGACAAAAGATAAGTAACATTTTCTTCTCGCTTTGTGAACCGAGTTTTTGGTAGGTATGTCATAAACAAATGTTTAATGGGCTTTAGAGTTATCACTAGCAAAACATAAAATGCAAATACTAGTATGTATGTACATATGTAAAAACATGCTCATGAAGAGTAAGCGACAGAAAACAATGTTTAATTTGATAAATTTCAACAGCTCCGAAAATTGGTTCATTCAATATTTAGATCCCATAATTTCGAAACAACAGATATATCATTGATACGTTTACTAGATTTACCTAATTTTTCTACCGTGAGTCTTTTGACTTTGTCGAATCTTGCCTTATCCAGTATAATTTTGATATCAAATCTACGGCTTGCGATAAGTTAAGAAACGACGGAAAGGAATCTCAAGTACTTTCGTATTTGTGTTTAGGAATGCCCACCGGTCGACTACAAGTATTGTTAGTATAAAGGGCTCCTTTATCGACGCGTGGTATTTTCTCGATATTTCTTTTTATGCTCAGGTCAGAGGGCTACCTCAAGAAGGCTTTAGAGGAAGAGGTATACCTGAGAATAAATTAACCCACAGACACAGCCCACTGAGTATCTCGCCGGATCTTCTCAGTGGGTCGCGTTTCCGATCCGTTGGTAGATTCTACGAAGCACGGCTCTTGCTAGGGTTCGTGTTAGTAGCGTCGTCAGGTTTGAGCCCCGTGAGCTCAACTACTATTTAAGGTTACGCTGAAATAGTCTCTCAAGGCTATCATCAGCTTGGGTAGAGAAAAAAAGGTCGACTGCAAGTATTGTTAGCATGAAAGGGCTCCTATTTTCGAAGCTTGGTATTTTCTCGATATTTCTTTTTTATGCTCAGGTCAGAGGGCTACCTGAAGAAAGCTTTAAAGGAAGAGGTAGACCTGAGAAAAAATAGATGGATTGCGTGAAAGACGATGTGTGTTCCGGTCATCGTTCTTGTCGAACCCGTCGTTTGCGACGAAGGGCTCGACGAGTAAATTAACCCACAGACACAGCCCACTGAGCTTCTCGCCGGATCTTCTCAGTGGGTCGCGTTTCCGATCCGGTGGTAGATTCTGCGAAGCACGGCTCTTACTAGGGTTTGTGTTAGCAACGTCATCAGGTTTGAACCCCGTCAGCTCACCTACTAGTTAAGGTTACGCTGAAATAGCCCCTCAATGCTCTCAGCTTGGGTAGGAAAAAAATTGTGTGTAAGAGGGGATTGAACGATGAAATGGTAGATATGATAGAGGAGTATGGAAGGAGAAAACATGTTGCGCCGACCAGAGGTGACTGGGAGAAGGACAGGAGAATGATGATGTCAGAGGGCTCCATGTCCAACTATAAACAGTATCGGAAGCTTCTAGAAATCATAACATTGTATGTTCATTATGCTCTTAATATGCTCTATTACCTTTTTTTTTATGATTAAGAGATTACTGGTGGCCCGGAGGCCTTTCCAGTTTCACCAGGACATGTGGGCGAGCAAAGGCTCAACCAGGAGGGGTGGGATTTGCTAACAACTGTCCGAGCGCCTCCGAAGGAGACTTAACAACTCAAGAGCAGCTGCTTCGCGAATGAATCTGCTACCGGATCGGAATCGCGACCCACTGAGAAGATCCGGCGAGAAACTCAGCGGGCTGATGCATGGGTTAGGTTGGACGTCGACCTCTTTGTCGAGTTCCATGACTACGGTTACCGGGGTTCCTCAGGGTGCTCCTAGTGTTAGAGCTGAAGGTATCTAATGCAAGAGCTATTGGATCTGATGGATCCGTAAGGACGTGGCAGTCTCTATTACTTATAATTGTGGAGAGTTCTCAACGGCTTGGTTGAATCCCTGGCGTTGCTGACGTCCATGCGCAACACTAGCCACTCACCATCAGACCGTACGCTCGTTTGTCTACAAAAGACAAAAAATGGAGAAATAACAAATTTAGCGAGTTGCGTTTTTATCACAATATGATGATATTTAATAATAGATATTCGTGATCGTGTACTAGATATGTATTTGCTTAGAGCAATTTTTAACTGCCTGGAATGCTTTAATCACTGATATCACTCGACACCAGTACACTCCGGTCTCTCAATGGGTTCATATTCAAACGCTTCTTATTTCGATAAATAATAAAAATATTGGTAAAATAATAACCAATAAGTAATAAAAAAAATTACCATCGCACCGCCCGCCACCGGAGTAGAGTTCATCCGTACTACCTGGAGCCACTGCGGTCATCCACAGTGCGTTTCCAGGGGTCTTTTTTGCCACGTACCATCCGGCTATGGGATGAACTCCCCTCCACGATGTTTCCCGAGCGCTATGACATGTCCTTCTTCAAACGAGGTTTGTGAAGAGTATTAAGCGGTAGGCAGCGTTTTGGCTGTCCCTGGCATTGCTGAAGTTCATGGGCGACGGTAACCACTCACCATCAGGTGGGCCGTATGCTCGTCTGCCTACAAGAACGATAAAAAAAATAAAAAAACTCATTAGTCTTATATTACCGGTAGCGGGGTGTATTCTTAGGGCGCATTGATCGATATCAGGTCGCGATTTGCGACTATTTGCATACCTAAACCGGGTTCAGAAATCAAGATGAGAGGTGTGACAATGATAAAATTCATCACTATAGTCAACCGAACACGCCAATATTAAAACAATGTAAGAAGTGATTATAAGGAATTTTAATTAAATTAAAATTAATTATGTATTTAGCTGAATACGCACTGCTTGTTCAAGTATTGTTTTATATTAGTGTATGCTTATTAGTAGTGTATGTTTATTATTACGATATATTTTTCGTACGTTTTAGCCCCAAATGACGTGACGCGTTGCTGAATTTTTCAAAATATCACCGTAATATCTCAAATTTTGTCGGTAGTGCTCATAATTTACGACCAAAAACTGCATTCTAAATCGACATCGAACTTCGCATCTTGTTAAAACGTAAAACCAACTGAAATTCTATCAACACGCCACGCCGCATGATTATGAGAACGTAAATTCATTAAAAAATGATAAAGATAAAACGGGAATTTGCTTAAGATAAAACTGATAGTGAAATGAATTCGTAATACATATTATATACGATATCAATCGTGACTTAGCCAGATTACTTACTAGAGACAAGTTTGAGAATCGGTGTCCTAATGACCGACGTAGCGTTGTAACCAATAATTTTTTTCCTACCTATGCTGACAGCCATGAGAGGCTATTTCAGCTTCACCCTAGCGTGTAGGTTAGCTCACGGGGCTCAAACCGGAGTGTTAGCATCGGAAACGCGACCCACCGAGAAGATCCGGCGAGAAACTCAGTGGCCTGTGTCTATGGGTTAATTCGCTCGTCGAGCCCTTCGTCACAAGTGACGGGTTCGACGAGGACGGTGACCGGTGCTTGTGGTACCTAAAAGCACCGTTAATGGATCGGGAGGATCCGTAATGACGTGCTTAGGGCGACGTCGACTGTTTACCATTCGGTCTACAGGATCGGGTATGTAATTTCCAGCGGCCACGACAAGAGGGTTCTCATGTCGTGCCGCCTTCTCAAAGTGGCGCAATGATGCCGACTGTAGATACTTACGGACTAAAATGTAACCAACGAGCTTGTGTATACCAAGAAAGTGTCTGAAATTTGACTTTACGTAGGATAAGGAGGTAGTAATCGCTATCCTGCTAACACCTCCCGCGATAAGACTTGAAGACATCCGCTTAATAATAGAATTTGAATTTCGATTTGATCCCTCGAGTTAGGTGCCGGTATCAGGTTTCTAGGCCACTGAACCACTACTGCAACATGTGCTCCATCCAACCAGAGCAAGAAACTATTAACGAACAACCGACTTCACCAAACAAAATGACAACAACATCAATGCAGTCGAAGTCAATCAGTCAAGGAGTCACATGAGAAGCACCAGCTCTCAAATAAAAAAGAATCATTGAAATTCATTCACTCAGTAAAAAGTTTTGAGTTGGCACTTGTTGCCAAAAAAAAAACGCCGAATTGAATTGAACCTCACCCCTTTTTCTTAAAAATCGGTTAAGGATTATTAAAAAAAAAAAACTAGAAGTTTGTTTAGTAATTGAATGAACTTCGTCTAGTTGTCTAGAAACCTCAGTGTCTGCCCGTTACCGGAGATATGCTGTTACTTTAACGCACGAATGGTAACGGTCACCAGACCGGAGGAATATTCTCAGTGGGTCGCAATTCCGACCCGTTGAAGGATTTTTTTTAATTTTTTTATTGCATAGATGAGGGGACGAGCTCTACAACGTATATGCCGCCACCCACCTTGAGATATGAGTTCTAAGGTCTCAAGTATAGTTACGGGGGCTGCCCCACCCTTCAAACCGAAACGCATTACTGTTTCACGACAGAAATAGGCAGGGTAGTAGTACCTACGCGTGCGGACTCACAAGAGGCCCTGCCACCAGTATTTACGCAAATTATAATTTGGCGGGTTTGATTTTTATTAAAGAGGCCCTGCCACCAGTAATTACG